TCTCCAAAATATACATCCTAATTTTGTCTCTTTCTTCCTCTTCATTGCAAACACAATTATTCATGTCACCATCATTTCCTGCCTGCAGTTGTGCAGTCTGTAGTTTACACTCCTGGTTATCTTAACTTGTTTGTGCTGCTATAACAAAATGCCYAGACTGTGTAATTTACAAAGAACAGAAATTTATTTCTCACAGATGTGGAGGCTGAGAAATCCAAGATTAGAGCACTGGCAGGTTCTGTGAGGCAGGGCCCCAATCCCTGGCTTCCAAGATGGTACCTTGTTGATTTTCATGTGGACTGGACAAATGTTGTGTCTTCACTTGGTGGTGAAGGAGTAAAAAGGGCCTAAGCTAGTTCCCTCCAGCCTTTTTATAAGGTACTATTACAAAAGTACCACTTCTTAATACCATTCTAATAAAGATTTTCAACAACAATTTTGGAGGGGACATTCAAACCACAAAACTTTGCATACCAAGTTATTTGCTCCAGCCAAATGGGCCCTTCCCTGTTTTTTTCCAACATGACACATTTTTAAAACCCCAGGGATTTTTTGTATTTTGTTCTTTTTTCCTGGAGCATTTTTAGACCTATATAGCATCAGTTTACATGTCATCTTCTCAGATAGGCTTTCCCTGATTGTTGTTCCTTGATTGTTGTCCCTTCTAGTGTCATCACCCTATCTTGTCTTCACTATCTGAAGTTACCTTGTTGGCTTGTTTCTTTATTGTTCATCATTCACTAGCATGTAAACTTCATGAGTGAAGAAGGATTTTACCTGTTTTGATTTGCTATAGGCATAGTTTCTAGATACTGACTGGAACAGAAATGGTGTATGGTAAATATTGGATTGAATCCTGATACTAATGTTGATTGTATATAATAGGATTATATTTCTCTTGGGATTGTTTCATAAAATATCAGCGTTTGTTAATACAGGTGGCCTAATTAAATTATTACTGTGGTACCTTGACATACTCAAAGCTGTTCCTAGCTTGCTTCATGTGGAGGACCAATGTGTTAAAAATGTAGGCTATTTGTATAAACATAGCTTACCTTTTTTTGGATTCAGTRCTTGTTTTTGGTTTTACAAAGTATCTTGTATTTTCTACGTAATATAGTAAAATGTAGAACAATTGCAATGCCATCAATAAAATGTGTAAATTTTCTGATTTTTTTAATAAAAAGGCCCATCCTTAAAAGAGGTTTCAACTAAACCAAACTTAAAATAACATTTACTCTTTACKATCATTAATCTTATTACTCTTAATATTGATGATTAATTTTTAATCAGGTAATTGGAAATGAACAAAAATATGACAGAGATTGCATTTACTGAAGACATTCTGTAAATTAATGCATGTTRTAAGAATTGAAYAGATATGTGACAACATTTATAGAAKATATTTTTCTTTAGACTTTATTATTCTCATTCAGGTTTTCTTACTTTTTCTTTGTTCTTTCTACCTTACTTTTTATTTAAATGGATTTTAACTTATTTCTATTTTTTTTCAGTACTCTTCTTTTTTTTTTTTTTTTTGGTATTAGGAATTGAACCCAGGGGCAGGCACTTAACCACCAAGCCACATACATACCTAGCCTGCTTTTTAATATTTAATTTTATTTTTTTAATTGTCAACAGGCCTTTATTTTATTTATTTATA